TGTGTACAAAATTATACAGGGTGTGGGGACTCTAAGGACATAGGTCTAATTACCAAGATACTCAGGGCATCAATTATTTAAAGAAACACCAACAATACATTCTGACATTTTAATTTAGTAGATAAATAAAAGGGAGGATCATCTGGAGATTTGTACATCAACTATCTATCTGTAATGTAATGGTAATTTCTTCACTATAACTCGTTTTCATTATCCTGTTTTAATTAATAAATTATAAACAAACAAAAAATACACATCCTTTTACAATTACACAATTGGCCATTATCTTGTTCGTTCTTGATACAGGTTATAATTAGAAAATGTTCAATCTCACCTTTCTTGGCGAGAGTCATTATTACTAGATAGATGATGCTTACTAATTCCGCTATACTTTGTGTTTCTATTACTGTAATACTAGCTCTGTTAGTAGCGCTCGCACTTAAGTAAATGATAAAATGTGTCCATGGTCAAAATAAGTAAATAAGTCATATTTTAATGATCCAGTATACAATAAGTGCAGTATTTGGTCAATTGTAGATGCACTTTATAATAAAGCAAATACTGCCCCCATGGTTTTCTTATTCATACCATCAGGGTAGTGGCACACATCTGAATCAGTGACAGCATACCCGGTAGTAGCGATAGCAATTATTCTCCTCTAAGCACATTTAGCAAAGAAATCATTTTAAAAACTACAATAAAAAACACATAAATTTTAATCCAACTTGATTAAAGTTTGAAAAAAAAATTTCTCAGGTAATTCGGATTGTCTAATTTCTCAGTGGAGAAATTTTTAATGAAAATAAGGCTCAACACTGTGCAACTGTAGACAATAAATTGAAACACAAGATTAAATTACATAATAAAGTATAGCTCACTTGAGAATGTATTTTATACTTTCTTGAGTGCTGAATATTAGTCGTGCAAACACCCAGACGTGTCAGCGATAATAATATCGGGTGATTTATGTCAAATACTATTAATTTACGCTGAAAATATCAATTTGTGTTAAATTTATTTACAGTGGCTTTAGGAAACGGAAAGATGTGGTAACTGCTTTCAAAAAAAAAAAAAAAAAAAAAATTTAGAAGTATTTAAATAAATGCATAACATCTTAGAACAGACGAGGAACGGCCATTTCAAGTTCAATGTAAATGGAAGCATAATTTAGTGAAGAACACTTGTGTACTACAAGAGCAGCTCTCTGGTTAAAGTCATCTTGCAGGGTTGCACGTCTACAAACGTGTAGCTACTGTAATTAGACCAGCCAGCCAGCCAGCCAGCCAGCCTAGAGGGGCATTTTGTACAAAAAACCAATAAAAATCAATAAAAACGTGAAATCATGTTTTTTTTCATTTATATCTATTTCCTGAATTCAATTGGGAACACCAGGTAGCTTCCTGATACCCCTGCTCGCTCCCTTAATAATCTAAAATTAGTGAGTTGTGTGACGTAAGAGACCACTTTGTTATCCCAGCGCTCAATTTAATTAAATTTCATGGCAGCTCCGCTTTTCCAAGTTTAATTAGTATCGGGGCTTTAAATGCTGAAAGCATCGATGGACGATCAATAGAGATTTCAGTGAGTATTTACAAAATGTGAAAGCAATTATATTCTGTCCACGTACTAGATCAATAAATCGATCAATACGGGTTATTGCGTTACGGTAAACTGCATATACATATCTAGGTAATGATATAAAAGAAATCCGTTGAACAAATCGAAGCTATTACCATAAGACACATGTACGAATGCAATAATATATTGTGACTCAGAACTATTGTTCTCTTATAGCGTAATTTCATTTAATACACAACATTTTCATGACAGTAGAACTAGTTACATAATTTTAGAAATGGATTATGGAAATGCATTTCACTGTGCGGGGAAAATGATGATCTCTTAACAACAATATCAGCATGTTACACAAAATGTGAGAGGTAACCTAATTTGCATCTAATTTGAATAATAAACAATCAACTGTTATACACTTATTCACAATATACAATTTAAATTTTATGAATACATTTAATTATAAGTAATGACAGAGCAGCCTTGGCTGACATAACAAATTAGATTAATTTCAGAAAACTAGCACGGAAGGACAAAAAATGACACCCAATGTCTTTCTCAGGAGAATTATTTCTGGAGATAACACATGAAATATTTTAAGCGTTGTTTAGTTTAGGTGTTTACAATTTAAAGTCGCAGGTAGTGTGCATTTGGATTTCAGATAAACATTAAAACAAACCATGTATATTACACACGTTATACGCTTCAATAAATAAATAGAGTATAAACAGAACCGACCAGGCCATAATTGGGAAATAATGACCTAACTAATTTATAAATACAAGTTATTCTACACAATACTGTTAATAAAAATACAAATGTAAACCAAATTGATTCGAGATAATGTAAAAGCAATATTTGGTAGGCTTTTAATTTTTGTATTATCGCAAATCTTTGAATTTTGCTATATTCAAAAAAATATGCATTATTGTATACAGCTCTGTTATTTATGTAAGCGAATATAATTCTAACAGGCAAATATGGAATCTAAAATAAAAGCTCAAAATGTTTAAAAAGTGACATGAAATTCCAACGAAAATGGCGCGCATGTTTATAATAGTGCAATCAATTATTATTGTTTCTGTGCAAATTGGGATCTGTACGCGTAGTCACCTCGAATTGCGGTTCCAGTATGAGCCATCAGTATTATTGTACCCATGATGTCATCAACACACTATGGTTAAACCCACACCACTACTAGAGAGAGACAGGGATTATCTCCAGGGGGGGGGGGGGATATTACGTGCCATATTTTGACTGTACAAACAAAAGTAAACAAAATGTTACAAGTCGTTGCTGGGCCTTTAATACCTCTGAGTTGATTGGTTTCCACTTAGCAATTGTATAGTGGATATCTGTTACGGACAATGTTGTTACACCTGCCACAAAGACAGACTTCAAGTAGTCGATTCTCAACAATGCGTGGCAATTCCAAAAACTGGCTTCACTCACTAAAACCCAGAGTAAAAGGTTTTGAATATCAGCCTTGTCAAAAGAACAGTATGCACGGTTCATTATAAAATAATACTCCCTTAAGCATATGTGTCTTTCCAGTTCACTGATATTCTATACTTGTAGCAGAATAGCAACTAAACAAAAAAAAAGCTTAACATGAAAAAGAGACACTTAGACAATGGACTGTTGAGCTACTTGTCTAACCTTATTGACCTGGCTGATATCCCTGCATACGATTCAGTAACAACCACTTCACATTAATCCTCTAAAGGGAGAAAAAAAACCCTCACACACTTTGTATACCCCCCTCCCGTGACCTCAGCTTCCTGCAAATTGAGGCCAATAGTTGACATGCTTAATTTGCCTAACAAAATACAGGCATTCGCAGGGCAAATAAAACAAACTTGCACAGTAGCACAAAATACAATACTAATTCAGAGCTCTGTAAAGGCAGCTGGTTTGACATAATTGAGACGTTTAAATTTAGCCTGTTAAACAATTACGTCCGCATAGAAATATCACCTGTCTGTGGTGTACACATGCAGCAGCGAAGAAAGATATCAAGGAAAAAGGTTACATCTACTGATATGCCGTCCATCGTTAAATTATTCAAGGCAATCTAAAAAAGCAGCGATTCACCGCAGAGATATTAAATCCATACTACATGATGCATTTCAAATTACAGAGTTATTTGTCTGCATGGGCCCCAGCCAGCGTACCTTGGTGCTACCGACAACGACTAACATCACCATCCAGCGCATCACGACAATAACACTATGATTTAGCATGTTACTAATTCTCTTTCATGGGAAAGTAAAATAGATTAATAGCCTATAGGTTAGATAGTGGCCCATGGGAACAACTACGCTGCATGTTAGACTGATTACAACCACCCTGTCATATTAACAATTTCCTAGGGTTAAGCCTTGGGATGAGCCATGTTTATTTGCTTACACAAACGTCTCACTCAAGACTTCACTTCAAGACTATCGCCATCTTGAGACGTACACCAATTATTAGTATTTTTTATTTTTTTTAAACATACGTAGACTAACCAACCCACAGGTATACACGCAAGGGGTTGTCTTATTGTTAAGACGAATGCTAACAATTTAAACTGCGTTATTGTGTTCATATGATTTACATGGTTATTAAATTAAATCAATAGTAATGGCTTAGAAGGCGCAGGATGCAACGTTTCAGTAGACTGACTGCTGGTTTGGGATTATATACAACACACTATATATATATATAGCCCAATTGACAACTATTTAGTTAACAAGCTGACTGGCTACACTACAAACATGGCTATCACTTTTAACAGCGTACAGTGTACACTCAGTCTAATCATGTAGAAAATATAACACAGCTTGTGTAACACAAATTCCTACCATACAGTGCATGACGACGTACGAAGCACCGAAATTGGCCAGCCCTATTAACCACAACTCGTTAAGCGGACAGCCCAATAAAATCTAATATATACATGTAATTGTGCCACCTCGTCGTATTAAAAATGAAATATTATTTTAGCACGCTTACATAAACAGAAAAAGATGTGGTCTCATAAATTATGTTTACAGACAGTACGTGGGTAAGTTGAAGGGAGGAAGTGATACTGATTTATACCCCCCAAACATAAATTGCTGGATGAAATCCACAGTGAAGTAATGAGGGAGTCAATAAGACAGCTGTTACAGTCTAACTATTAGAGGATTTGGAAAGGCCAACTGTAATAATGATAACCTATAGCAAGTACACACAAGCCGCTACAATAGGGACACTACTACACAGAGAGCTTGCCAGCCACTTACATGTATACTCCGATGTTTGGCCCAATTTTACAACGCTTTCTCAGCGGATTCGCGCCATAACAGGAGTACACCTTCAAACACAATTCTAAGTCTATCATATATGCTAGAGTACAATGTTTACGATACACAATGAAAAACAATAGAGTAGAGTGTACTCACTCGGTCCCCTTCACTTTCGCTGTCACACTGTAATACAATGAGAAAAAAAGAACTAATTAATATTCATGAATAGCAGTGCATGATGGGACGGGGTAATCTAAATCTAGCTGTTAGCTATAATAATTCAACCTGATAGCTACTATAATACAAATTGTCTACACATCCCTTGGTGGCCATTACCATTTTCACACGGGGGTAGCCAACTCTATATATCCAGCCCAGAGAAACCTTAATCTTATGTCTGTATCAGTCACCTTTCTTCTTCATCAAAATGAAATACGAGTGGTAAGATACAAACAGTTTATTATGTTTAAAACCCTTATTTTTTTGGTAAAAGAGTTGAGTTGGAAGACTGTAAAAATTCATTTACACGCGCGCATGCATTGAAAAGTATGAAAAACCTTAAAATATCTAGGTGGCAGTAGAAATGAGATCATTTAAATTCCTATCCCTAATATTTTATTTAATGGCTTAAGTATGCTTTTTTTTTCAGGTTCAATTACCCAGCTTGTATAGAATCACCTAATATTTCTCGTTTTACATTTACAGAAGCATTAAACGAGAGTCCATGTCAACAACAATCAGTCAAGGGCAACCACTATTGTATGCCATGTGTATACTTTTTTAAATTTAACCTTTGTCAACTTTCGTTGCCTTCCATAAAATAAAAATCTTGCGCCTTTTTTTTTTGTTTCTGGATTTTTTCGAAAATGTTGATAAAGACCTGAAGACAGACAAATTATGCACAATTGAACAAAAATTAATACAGAAATTGTTGAAAATACATAAAAAAAATTGTTGAAAAATTATGGTGTTTAATGAGTTGAATGAAATGGTTGCTATTTTTTTTTTTTTTAACTGTTGAATGACAGATAATAACTAATAGGGAGAAAGAAGAATGTTTTTTTTGTTTTGTTTTTTTTTCAACAGAATCCAATCCTTAGCTGGAATACAAAGTCTAGTGTTTGCCTCGCATGTTGACATAAACACAACACAAACAGAGCTCATACAAACATACAGGGGGGGGGGAACAGTAAGTTATCCGAATAACCAACATAAACAAGGCTACGGTTCAATTAATAATAGAATTTCTTGTTTTTTTCATTTCTTTGATATGCTTTGAAGATACAAATGTTCCTAGTGACATATACTGCAGAAAGTGTGTCATTTGATATACCATAGAATCATGGTATCATATCACTCACTACTTCCAATTAAACACATGTGAATGACACCTCAGATAAAACCTCACTAACAAAGAGAATAACAGACACAAGTTCAGCACTCTTCAATTCAGTATCCCATCCACTACAGCTGTAAAGTCAGTGAGCTCTGAACTAGTACTGTAGACACATTCATTTTCATCTGATACTCTATTCGCTGTTTTTTTTGCTAAATTAAATCTATGTAGAATAACAATAAAACTCATAATTTCCCTGCCAATTCGTAAACTTAAAACCCAGTGAAACTGCTCAAAACATCAAAATATTGAAATTAAACATCAGTGAATATAAATAGTTTTATAGTATTTAATTAATTAGTTACTTCAATCCATTAATTTGAATTCCTTGATTTTCCAGTAAAACAACGAGTTCTGTTGTAATTTCACACAATTACATTTTAGATTTCAAGTATAGCAAAACTAGCGGAATAACAGCGCAGTGAATAAATAACGCATTTCCCTTATTTTATTGCTAAATTTATGTATATAATACATATATACATTTCCCAAATGGTAAAAAAAATTTACCACTATCAATCTCAAATTATAGCTATCAACACCTACGTATTGGCCCTAATAAAATGATATTGTCTCTTATAAAAACGTACTGCAGGAAATTAACGACAAACTGAGGGTTGTCCAGACAAATTTGCACCACGCCATGGGTGTACATTTCTGGAGCATGTTAAGGGACATCCATGGTGACAGGAGAGACGTGGTAGTGATCCTTAAAAGTAGCTGGGCACACAGGGAACACAATGCTAGATAGGTTGGTAGGTGTGACTTGTTGACATCAAATGAAGTACAGTAATGCATTGAAAAATGATTAACACACCCTGCGTCAGTAACCAGTGATTTATGTCGAGTGTGGACATGTTTACCAAGTGCAAAATATGCTTTTCATATACTTCTTTTTCTTAGGAATTGATGGTCCACTACAAATTGCTTGTCTAATCTACCTAAGGATTACAGCCAGTATAATAGGAGAGTTTTGCAGCTCACTGTACACCACTTTAATATCGTGAGAGATACATTTTCCGTGGATCAGTGAAAAATTTCCTTGCGCCATAGCAACTATTGCTAAATCCTAAAATCGTAAAAAATCCTACCAGTGAAAATTAACCAGTTTACAGCAGCTACCTGTGCTACACTGTAGCCTTTAGAAACTGGATAACAATTATGTCAACAGTTCAACATGTGAAAGCAATAGTGCAAAAATTGTTTTTTTTAAATCATTTTTACTTTATGTGACTCGCTATCTGGAAAATCAAATGAATATATACACAGAGTTATGCTTTGAGTGATACATGTACATCAAAAAATGAATATAGGACAAAACGTGCTTCATCTTTTTTAACAACAAGCAGCCTATCGGCTGAGATAGCTCCGCTGTTAGCAATGCACATTTCAATTAAAGAAG